CTTTCTCCTTATGGATTTTTTTAATGTGAAAAATATTATAATAAACTATAAATATCAATGGAGGGATCAATATATTTATTTTTTTAAAAATAAAATATACATATAAAAATAATCTGGCTCTCACAATGTCTCAAATTGTACTTAGAATTTTTTTAAGTAAAATGCTCCTATGTAAGTATTTTTATGCAAAGTGGAAAACACAGCGAAAACAGGAAGTACCTCATTTATCTTCTCTTCAGATGTCTCATCTTGGTTATTTTTGAATTCTTCATTTATCTTTTGTCTTGCAGCTAAATAAATGAAAAAAACCTAAGTGTGTGCAAAAAATTTTATACTGTCTTTGTTACTGCTTCAAAGTTCAGAATTCCAAATCCTTCATAGCACTGCTGTGGTGCACTCTGTCTGCAATACAAGATTGCCATGTAATTCAGGTGATGTCATATTTTAAATGACCGGTATATGAATAAAATATGATAGTCCATTTAGCATTCTGCATCTTCAAAATAACTAGCATACAGAAGTCACTGCTAAAAACTGGTTTAGTAATAAAGTATCTATCCTCTGAGGAGCAAATGTATAAAGAAAGCTTTAAGAGTCACTGGATGCTTTAGGTTGGAAGGGACCTTAAAGATCACCTAGTTCAAACACCCCTGCATCAACTCAAGTGCTTGGCACACTTAAACATGCTTTGGCTGCACCGAAGAAAAAAATAAATAAATAAATACGTAGATCCCAGAAAGATCACCAAGGTTCCAAGAAGTCTTGTCTTCCTTAGAAAAGATGGGTCTAACAACCGTTTTTTTGTTTCACATTAAAGGATATCTGGTTTTGAACACACAAGTTCTCCCAATGATTACTTATAACATGTGGAAAGGAGTTATTTAAAGGAAGATTATGATAAGAACTCTAGGTCCATGTATTTAGAAAAGAAAATTCCACAGAAAAGTAGGTAAGCATTCACCACACACAAAAAGTATCTCACCTTCAAGGGCTCTGGTATCATTTTTAAAAACTTCTTGCCGGGTTCTGTGCAATAATTTAAAAAGCTTCAAAACCTGTCAATACAACATCAATAAAATTACCTCATTTGCTTACAGGTTTCTTAGTTAAAATGAACATGTCACAATTAAGAGGGCTTTTTGTTCTGATTGATCTTTGATGTTCTTTCCATTCAGTAGAGGATTTGGCACCGAATCAGTATCCAAGATACTCAACCTCAATTCCTGATCCCTGCAGCCAAGCAGATGTGAAGAAATAAAAATCCTAGACAGTTCTAGACATTTCAGTTAAATTTAAGATGCTAGGAAGTACTAGTACAACACTCTTTAATTATTTGGCATGACAGGAATATAATCCTACAAATATGTGGATACAAACATATCTATTATAACAATAACAAATAAAGCCAACAGAATCAGAGTAACTCTAGCAGTCGACATACCCAAAGGGACTAACTATATCAAGAACACATCACTGGATATTCTCTGATTACAAAAAAAAAAATAGAAACATACATATCTAAGGTATTCCCACATTTACAATGCCAGTGTGAAACAAGTGGATCTTAAGCTGTGCATTAAATAGTTTAACAATTATTTTTCATGTCTCTGTGTAATACCTGGTCATAATCTTCTACAGGTGATGTAGCAAAAGCAACACAAAGTCCTTCCCTAAAGATCACTGCCAGATCAACAAATAAAAATTTCACTGAAAGCACACAAAAACTTAGGATTTACAATGCAGAGATGATATACCTCAGTATCTAAAGCAAACCCCCCCCGATAATCACAGCTCACAGTCACATGATCTAGGCTATTTGTTACAGAAATTCTCAAGTCCTTCTCAGACTTATTTGGGGTTTGTCAGAGACAGACAAGAACTTCTGAGAAGCAAAAAAAAAAAAAGTATCTTGATAAGGAGATAACCTTTTGAAGTTATTTCTAGTACTTCCTAGTGTGTTTTGACATCGCTACAAGGCACAATCCCAGGTATTCATAACACTCTTGGAATGTTTTGTCACAATTAATACTAAATATTAGAAGGATGCAGAGGAAACACACGGATGAAACTGAAAAGTGACCATCCTCTGTATCAGCCTGCTCTGCACCTGTAAGCTGGTGATATAAACAAGACCATCATCTAAAAGGTCAATAAAAATATTCTGGCAGGTCCCCTCTGCTTTAAATCTGCCAATGACAGACAAACGGCAAGCATCTCTGAAACTTATTACTTCCAAAAGATCTCAAGATATTTTTAGGTTTTCAAGCCAACTTCTCAGCCTCTGCTCAGCTTGTCACTTGGCTACACCTCAAGATAATTCATCCACTCCTAGAAACAGACAGTTTTGAGGAAGACATAAACTAGTAAGAACTAGCAACCTTCCCGTTTAGTACTAGTTTAACAAAATATTTGTGTTGTGTAACACAACACTTTTTTATATATATTAATTATTTATATATA